TGTAATCTCTTATGAATATCTCTGTTCAAGCACTCTTCAAACATTAAAATAATTAATTTTTTGTCATTGTCTCTTACTAAATTATAAGCAGCTCAAATACAGGGACTATTCCTTATTTATGTCTGAGTGCATAATGTTTACTTTTAGGCATAGTGTTGGTTTTCAGTAAAAGTTTATTGAATTAATAAATGGTTTTGAATAAAAACAAAATCTTTAGTAAGTTACATGAGAAACCTTTCTTTAATGGTAGATAATGGGAGTTAATTGCTAATAATAATATTCTTAAGATGCAAAAATAAGGGAATGGACTGACATCCAAGCTTTTACCCATTTGATAATAGTCATTGCTACTTTCTTTATCTTATTTGTTTACCACTTTGGCATTAGCTATTTGGTATTGTACGCTGTCTTAGTACTAGTCAGAAAGTGCTTTTCAAAAAGTGCCTGTTTCTCACTTAATTTATAGTACCACTATCTTTTTAACTCTTAATTTTTTATTCTGTTTATGCTATTTATTTTTATCAGATGACTAAAAATACAAAAGTTTTCCTCCATATTTGGCACATTCATTGTAATAAATGAGAAGTGGATTCATGGAGCTGATTGGCATCTGGCCAATTGGAGGACAAGTCCTTACAGTGAATTAAAGGCATGAAGACAGAGATCTGTCGTTTATAGGATAAGAGGCCAGAGAGCTATGTGGACAGGATAAATATATCAGTTAGGGAATTTTCCCTGAGAGCAGGTAAGAGGCTAAGAATCTGAGTAAACAGGTTTATTCTTATACGTGGACAGGAGGGAAGAGATGTCTACAGTACCAAATGGGCCAATGTGGCAGAGGTTTTACATCTTCATTATATTTTAAGAGTATCTGACTTTTAAGTGAAAAGAGAATGCTGTCTGGTGGAAGCTGGCCTTAGGTAGCAATGAGTTCCTGTTAGAATTTGTTAGAACATATACATAGGAGAACATCTTGGCACTGGTAGTGGAATACTAGTTATGTTTATTGTACTGACACTACTAGGTTCAGGACTGTTTGTTTTTGTCTATAATTACCCTAGTTCAACCTAGGCCTTAACAAAATGTAAGAGACTAACGTTCAGATTTATTTAGTGAGTAAATTGAAGTAGTTTTCTGTGCCGTTGGCGGAACAAATTAAACCTTCACTGGTTGAATGCTTATACCTACACAGAATAGTGTGGGAGGATTATCAGCCAGTTTGTCTTATTGTTTTATTGGCAGAAAACTCTTAAAATAAGTTTTCCCATGGAAGAGGTATCTTGCTTGAAATCCCAGAACTTTTACTAAACAATTTATTAAGTGGGATGATAGTAAATTACTGAAGAGTCATCAAAGCAAGTATGTTATTAATTGACAATTTATTGACTTCATCCCCAGGGCCAGTTTAAAGAAAAGGGAAGGAGGTTAGATTTCAAGCTACACTTTGAATACTGTGTGAGGTCTGTTTGAGCTTTTGGGTTAGGCTGTAATTAATTAACTCAATTAAACAAGTATTAGTACATGAGTAAATCTATCTTTCAAAGAGGTAGTAATGGGTTCAGTACTGATAAAATTGTGAATCTGAGCCTGGTTAACATTAAAGGGCACCCAGAAATTCACCTGTCATCTTTGATCACTTGTTAAAGAGTGGCATTAATTCACGGTTTCATATATGTATTCTGTGTCTTTTAATATATGTATATGTCCGTACACAAGGGTACTTCAAAAAATTCATGGAAAAACAGAATTAAAAAATACGAAGCTTTTTGAAGTACCCTCATATATGTTTATTGGACTTCAAAGAAAATGGCATTAAGCTTTAAATTTCCTTTTTAATTGAATTTTAAAACATTTAGTTTTCACTTAGTTTGATCCTTTTTTTTTTTTTTTTTCTTTTTGTCTTTTTTCATGACCGGCAACGGATCGCAACCCTCAGTGTCGCGCCCGTACCGGACCGGGACCGGCCACGGGATCGCAACCCTCGGCGTTGCTCCCGCCCCTCGCTCAGCCAGTGAGCGGCCGGTCTGTATGTGGGATCCGAACCCTCAGCGGCTTCCCAAGCATCGCACTGTAGCAGTGCGCCACCGGGCCGGCCCCTTAGTTTGATCCTTTTAAAAATTGTTAGAAATTACTATCTTCAGGCCTCACAGCTCATGCACTTACATAATTTTGCTGACACTTGGAAAAGCAAGATAACGATTTTGAAACTTTTCTTTAAATGCTCCATAAGAAAGAGGTGCTCCCAGTTTTTGAGCAATAAATGAAATTCCATAGCTAGAACTTTGTTGGGAAAATTCAAAATTAATTCTTTCAGTAGCTTATTTTGCCTTTAAAACAGAGCCTGCTTATTGTATCACCTTTACTGATAATCAACTGCTCACACTCCTGCTTTTGTAAACATGCTTGCTTATCACAATGCCTACTGCACTGGCTACATGAATGCTGAGAAAACAAAACTTAAAAGAACCTGCAAGAGTCCACCTATATAAACCCTGTAAGACCTAAACTCGGGGCTCAGATCTTGGAGTGCTGGCTCATCTGGGCCTGCTGAGGTAATAAAATACCTGACTCTCCAACGCTTTGAGTGCCTACTGCTTCTCTGTCGATTCCATTCCATAACATTTTCTGGTGCATTGGCTGGGAAGCGATTGGGACTGGCCCCTTGAGCCACCAGTCTGGGTGGGGTGACCTGGAAGATCAGCGATGCCACAGAGGACTGAGGAGGTGCCACCCGGACATTTTGTCTGGACCTCAGACAATGGGACCTCGCTGATCCTAGGGAGTGCCTGCCTGACCAGAGTCAACAGAGGGAAGGACCAGCCAGACCCCTGCCACCTGCAGGACAGATAGGACTTCTCCCCCACCCCAGTATTCAGTTCAGTTCAGGCCTACCTCCGGGTGGAAGGGAAGCTTGATTACCTCCCAGAGGGCCTCCCTGAGGGTCCATCTGTTTAAGGACATCTGTCTGGGGCCGCCCCGTGGTGCACTTGGGAGAGTGCGTCGCTGGGAGCACAGCGACGCTCCCACCATGGGTTCGGATCCTATATAGGTCTGGCCGGTGCGCTCTCTGGCTGAGTGTGGTGCGGGCGACACCACACCAAGGGTTGTGATTCCCTTACCAGTCACGAAAAAGACAAAATAAATAAATAAATAAATAAATAAAAATAAGGACATCTGTCTGTTTAAGGACCTTGTAGTGAGGTCTGTCCTTTTAAGGACGTCCATCTGTTCAGATCAGGTCAGGATTGGGGGAGGGAAAAGTATTTTAACCTTGGTGTGAATTTGGTCTGTATGTTTATGTGTGGAACCAAGGCTACGCCGTGGTTTCTGAGTGGGTCCTAACCTGTGGTTCTGTGGTCACGTCATATGGCATAATGGTGATTCCAGTCCCTGGTGTACTGGACCAGGTCTGTGGTTTATACGGAAACACCTTAGCAAAGATGGACCCAAAGTCCCTCAGGGGATGTGGCCAGGTGGATGCCAGATTGTTTCCCCTACCAAAAGGGAGAGGAAATTCCCCACCCTTTGTTTGTGCCTCCGTTGCAGGGAGGGATCTGGAATGGGTCCTACGTGCAGTGGAGGGAAAGCCTTTGTTCATGTCTGAGTGCTCCCTGGGGCCCCCCGAAAAAGAGGCAAATGCTTCTTTTCAGACCTAGGCAATGCTTACTTGACTTCCAAGGAGGAACATGTCCTTTTTCATTTACTCTGGGAGATCCATTGCCCATTCTGCCATAGAGTTCCCCTCCCCACTCATTAGCTCCATACATCCCCAGGGGTGAAGCCCCCACTCAGCCACTTAGGGGGGAGCCTACTCCCCCCCCCCCCTTATGCTTAAGTCTATCTCCTCTTTTAATAAAGCATTGCATGCTTTACTGCTGGGTACGTTGTTCATTTCTATGTCTTTGGAATTCAAGAGCCTAATTTAATCACTGGCAAAAATTGGAAAGCTCTGGGCACCAGAGAAGACTCTAGCTGCAAGAGGCAAGTGGCCACTGGGACTGTTTTGCTCCCATGTCTCTGCTGCTGGTAAGTCTCTCCTGGAGTCCCCAGCCTAAATTCTGACAAGGCAATACTTTATTCTCTTTTACTCTCCATTCTTCTCCATTTCTTCCTCTTTAAAGTGACTGCCATACAACTACAACTTAAACTCCTCTCAACCTGTGAGAAGCATGCTCTCTCTGGATGGCAGTGGCTTGCCCTGATGGCTAACTGGCAGAGGTGGGAAGGCCAGTCCTACAGCATGAAGACTTTGCTTGAGTAGGTTCCCCCTGATGGGGGATGCATGAGAGTGGTGAGGATTCCTTTCCATGTGTGCAGTGACAGGATGTCTGGAAGCCGCTAAAATTCTCTTTCCCTTTTTCTGATTTTCCAAGCCTTCTTCTGCTGTTCTGTATAGGTATACCCTGGAGGGCTCCTGGCTATGCTTTGTTTCTCTGATTTGAATCTAGTTGGTATTTGTGCCGACAGCAGGGGGTAGAAGTGCTTTTATCAATTACTGTGTCAGCGGAATTGGCCCCGATTGGGACTAGGACGACTGCTCCTCTTTTCTCTTTGTTTGTTTGCTTGGTTAGACATTTAGTTGAGTACTGGCAATCTAAATTAACCTTCCAATCCTTGTACCAACGTTAGCTGGGATATAAACACCTGAGGCAGGTGCAAGAGCCTAAAATTAAATATGGGGATAAGTGCTTCAAAACCTACTGCCCTTAAATGTATGTTAAAGAACTTTCAGAAGGGCTACTCTGGGGAGTACAGAATTAAAATGACCCCTGGAAAACTCTGGACCCTCTGTGAATTGGAATCTCCCACCTTTGGTGTCTGGTGGCCTTCAGAAGGGACTCTAGACCTCCCAAAGGTTTGAGCAGTTTATTAGGTCATAACAGGGGAACCAGGGCACCTGGACCAATTTCCATACATAGACTCCTTGTTGGCAATAGCTCTGACCCTGCCACCCTGGATCCGGTTCTATGTTCATAAGAGAAAGTGTACTCACTGCACAGGTAGTACGAATGCCAGAATGCAGCCAACAAGAAACAAAAGGCCTAAATATCAAGGAGATCCAGATGAAGAACAATTGCCCCCACCATATCCTGCTCCCTCAGGGATGCCTGGACCTAGGCACCGCTGCAGAGTCCTGAACCGACAGGAGGGCGACTCCTCTCCACCCAACAGGTCCCAGTCCTCCAGATGCCCCTGTGGGAAACCCGAGGCCCACAGCAGATTAGCCCAGATGGCAGCATACAGCCAGGGTGCCCCCTCTTCTACTACCAACCATTTACAACTATGGACCTTCTGAATTGGAAACACCACAATCTATCATATTCAGAAAAATCCCAGGCTCTCATCGGTCTCTTGGAGTCGGTTTTCCTCACCCATCAGCCCACCTGGGAAGACTGTCATCAGCTACTCCTTACCCTCTTTAGTACTGAGGAATGGTGACATATCCTGGCAGGAGCCAGGCAATGGTTACAAGATCAGGTCCCCACAGCCACCCTGGATCCCGAGAACTGGGCAAGAAACGCTGCACCAGATGCCACACCTAACTGGGACTTCATTGAAGAAGAAGGGAAAAATCGACTCTGCTGATATAGAGAGGCCTTCCTCCAAGGGCTGGGAGCAAAAGCCAGAAAACCCACTAACATGTCCAAAACAAACATTGTGACCCACAAACCGGATGAGCCACCTGCAGAGTTCTATGAAAGGCTATGCGAGGCCTTCCAGGTCTATACACCATTCTATCCTGAGGCTGCCGAGAATCAACGGATGGTCAACACAGCCTTTGTGGCCTAGTCCTGTGTTAACATCCGTCACAAACTTGAAAAGCTGAAAGGTTTTGCTGGGATGAATGCCACACAGCTCCTGGAGGTGGCCAATAAGGTATTTTGTCCATCGGGACCAGGAGGCCCAAAAGGAGGCAGATAAACGCCTAAAGCAAAAAGTGGCACTCTTGGCAGCAACGCTCAATTCAGACCAAAACTCTGCATCTGAAAAGAGGAATCCTCACTGACAAGGACGAACACCCCTACAGTCCAACCAGTGTGCTTACTATAGGGAGCTTGGCCACTGGAAAAATGAATGTCTGAAAAAAGGGGGAAAATCCCAACCAATGCCAACTGGCACCCAAGAGTCAGCCACCATTTGCCTTCAAGTGGGAAAACCCCCGCACAAGAAGAAAAGCTCAATTGACCTGGACCAGACTGCCACAAGGGTTCAAAAATTCACCCACATGCTTTGGAGAAGCGCTAGCCTCAGACCTAGCTGCCTTTCCTGGAGACTGGTTGAATTGTACCATGCTTCAATATGTTGATGACCTTCTGGCCAGTCCCACACAGGAAAACTGATGGGAAGGAACAAGAGCCCTACTGAGCCTGCTCTCTGACTTAAGATATAAAGTGTCCTGGGAAAAAAATATGTCAACAGAAGGTCGGATACCAGGGGTACCACATCTCTGAAAGATGCTGCTCATGGGGATTAGAGAGAAAATAAGCAATTTGTGCTATACCCTGACCAAATACCAGGAGGAATGTCTGAGAATTCCTTGGGGCTGCTGGATTCCGTTGAATCTGGATACTGGGATATTCGGAAAAGGCTAAACCTTTATGTGAGGCAGTCAGAGGAGCTGAAAAGGGACCCTAGTGTGTGGTCCAAAGCAAGAACATGCCTTCTCAGAAATAACCCAGGGTCCTGCCCTTAGGAATTCCACATATAACTCGGGACTTTGACCTCTTTGTACACAAGAGAGATCATATGGCTTTGGGGGTCCTCACCGAGATCACAGGACCCTGGCAGAGGCTGATGGCATACCTACCCAAGCAACTGGATACCTTGGCATCTGGCTGGCCACCCTGCCTACAGGCCCTGGCAGCCACTGTTTCCCTAATCCGAGAGGCAAACAAACTCACTTTGGGACAAAATCTTAATGTAAAGGTCCCACATGCGGTGACCATCCTAATGAATAGTCAGGGGTACAAATGGTTGACCAACTCCAAGATGACTCACTATTAAGGACTCCTCTGTGAAAACCCCTGGGTATGCCTTGAAACAGTGTGGACTCTGAACCCAGCCACATTCTTACCTGCTGAGTAGGGCTTCCTGGACCACGACTGTGAAGAACTAATGGATGAAATATACTCCAGCAGGCCCAATTTGACAGACTTGCCCTGACTGACCCAGACATTGAACTGTTCACAGACGGGAGCAGTTAAAGACAATAAAGAGCTGGATAGGTGGTAACAACTCATAGAGGCAAAATCCTTGCCACAAGATTGGTCAGCACAGCAAGCAAAGCTATGGACACTAATCCAAGCACTCAGATCTCAAAAGGAAAATGGGTCAAAATTTACACCGACTCTAAATATGCCTTTACGACCTTACACATCCATGGGGCCCTATTCAAAGAAAGGGGCCTGCTAATGGCAGACGGAAAGACAATCAAAAATAAGGAAGAAATTCTCCAGCTCCTCAAAGCAATATGGGCACCCACCCAAGTGGCTATTATACACTGCAGAGGACACCAAAAGGGGACTGACAGGATTATTGAAGGAAACCAGCTGGCCGGCCAGACAGCCAAGAAAGCGGCTGCCCAAACAGAGCCTGCTGCAGACCGGAATAAGACTGCCAAAATCATGCTGGTGCCAGAGACAGCATAACAACTAAAGTACACAAGGAAGAGACACAATGGGCAGAAAAAGAAGGTGAAATTAAAACCCCTGAAGGATGGTAAAGCTCCCAGATCACAGACTAATAATTCTTCAATGACTGTCCCACTAACTAGTTCTGGAGTATCATGAACTGACTCACTGGGGAAGAACAGCCCTGGAGACCACACTGTGTTGCTACTATTTCATCCCAAGATTGGCTTCCCTCTCTGCCCAGGTCAGCTCCTGATGCTCAACCTGCATCCAAAACAAAGCCAAGCGAGGGAACTGGCCAGCCCCTGGAGTCCAGCTAATTGGGACATCACCCTTCAGAGACCTGGTAATGAACTTCACTAAAGTAAAGTCCTGCAAGGGATACAAATATTTGTTAGTAATGATATGTTCATTCACTGGATGGATGGAGGCACTGCCCATGCGTTCTGAGCAAGCATGGGAGGTCACAAAGGCCCTTTTAAGGGAAATAGTACCAAAATACGGACTCCTTCTGACTATAGGATTGGACGATTGGCCAGCATTTATTGCAGAGGTTGTTCAAGGACTGGCCAAATGTTGGGAATATGATAGATGCTCCACACAACATACCCACCACAGAGCTCAGGGAAAATAGAACACATGAACCGGACCCAAAAGACCACATTAGCCAAGCTTTGCCAGGAAATGGGGCTACCCTAGATAGATATGCATCCCTTAGCCTTGTTGCAGGTCCGGTGTAGGTAGGGCCAACAGAATACTCCCCTTTTGAAATCATGTATGGGAGACCCCCACCCCCACCCCACCCCCCCTTATAGCTAGACTGCAGGGGGATTCCCACCAGTTGAGGGAGATGGAAATATCACAATACTTGCAATCACTGGCCAGGACCTTCTGACAGATAACCAGGGCAATTTTGGAACAAACTCCCATTCCTTTAGGAAAATGGGCACACTAGTTCCAACCCAATGACACAGTATGGGTAAAAGTCTGGGAAAAGGCTCCCTTCAAGCCAGTTTGGACAGGGCCACACATAGGTGTACTAAACTACCCCTACTGCAGTTAAGGTTGCAAGTTTAATTCCCTGGATCCATCATACATGGGTAAAACAGGCAGCTCCCCCAGACAATACCACCTCATAGTCCGTGAAGGCTGACCCCTCTGACCCACTCAAGAACCGGTTCCAGAGATTCCCTGCTAATCATCACTGCCCTGCTCTGGTCACACTGGAAGCTGGTCCACACACAGCCTGAGGATCTTGCCACTGTGGGACATTACAAGTATACTGATTTATTTATTTGAAATGATAAGCATTTGTCACCCCTTGTCTTTAGTTTTTGCTATATTGCTTGTTTTGCTTTTTGCCGTAGGACTGACAGCAGCAACCCCAGAGGATTAGAATAATATAGAAAAGTTTTTGCTAATAGGTGTTTATTAGAATTTTAACTCACATAAATTTGTGGTGCTTATTATGTACAGGAGTTTTTAAAGCAGTCACTTTGCTTTGATATTTACAGTGTGAAAAAGCTAATTTTTTCTGACTGCTTTTGCTCCCTTTTATTTCCTCCAAGCCACCTTTGGGTCAGGTGTTGCTGCTTTTGCAAATATGTTGCCCTTGACCTTTGGCTACTCAGTGTTTGGTTTTGAGCCAGCAAGTTCTGAAATCTTGAAAACTAAACAAATGTTTAGCATTTGTTTGATTTAACCATTTCTCTTCTTAAATAAAATTTAGTCACTTCCACAAGAAAAGTAACTATTGTCAGTTACAGACTATGTTACCAATGGGAAATTCTGGAGCATTCTTAAAATTATAAAATTTAAACCTGTCAGGTTATAATTCAGATTGGTTCAGATGATTATAGATTGTTTTAGAAGCTGAAGATTTTTTCATGTGTAATTTTGTGAATGTGCTTAAATAATGAATATAGAAGACTATATCGGTAAGGGACATGTATTTTTTTTTTCTTATAAAAAGTTTTTAAATTTAATTTTATCCATTCTCTGGTAATTATTACTTACACTTATGTCAGAGAAACTTTTTATTCATTTCAGGGCTGAGAAGGTGAATTTTAAATTTGCACCTGAATAGTATTTTTGCAAGTAATTTTACTTTACTTGCAAATAACATATTTTTTTTTTTTTTTTTTTTGCTTAATAAGCTTTTGGGCCATTTACTTAATTCCTACCATATGAGAGTTGTGAGATCAGATATTGAGATGATTAAGGTTTAACATAATTCATAGTTGTATTCAATTCAATTGAGTTATATGCAACTCAAGGGGTTTCAAAATTTTGACTTCTTTTATACGTGCAAGAAAGAATGTGAGATTTTCATGTTCTTTGAGTTGCTATATCAATGTGTAAATTTCCTGAGAAGGCTTGTTTTGCCTTCTGTGTCACAATTATTGTAGGAAGCCAAACAGGCTGCTCTTGGGTGTTAGATAACAAAGTAAAATAGACACCTGTTTGCCCATATTCGAAGACTGTGTGCTGCTTTAGTTGTATCAGTCTAATGAGCACCCCTGATGTTGGTGTCTTTGCTTTTGTTTTTATTTATATAACTTTGTACTTTTCTTAGAGACATTTGTTATTGACTACTCTTTTCTAATAGTACAGAGCAAAATAGCCATCTTTTTCATGGGACACTTGAAAGCTCCTGCATCACTAA